AAAACCATTCAGTGAGATTACCTGCTGTATGAGTTTGCTACTCCTCCACACACCCCTCCCAATTCCTCTTTCGTGGACTCGTTGCTGGTGCAGAGCTCAATCAGGCAATATGAAACCACTTCGCCTATTACATGCATTTAGAAACACCGTGAGGCACGGCGGTCCCAATAAGGCTTCAGAAACCGTGGCTTTATCTGCATTCGCGATCATATGGAGCTGGCTGAATGTGGGGTTAATTCAGGTTTGCTAGTCCTTATTGGCACTAAAGCATATTCAATTAGTGGAACAGAGTGCTCAGCCACTCTGCTGCTGCTTCCTGCATTAATCTGGCAGCGAGAATTAAAAGAGTGTAAGAAAAAAGTGTATGCACTGACAAGACCTGGATTTAAATTGAAGGTGAATGCACTAAAAGGCTTCGATTTAGAACGAAGAAGGCTGTCTTATTAGTTTTCTTGAGGATCTAATAATGTTACCATGGTATGAGGGAACTAGTAACATGTAGCATGTAAATGAGCACAGCCATTTGTAGCAGCTGTTAAGCAGTTGATGGCTGGATGGATGGACAGATGGATGGATTTACCCAAATAGATTTTTTTGAGTAAACCTTTGTCTCAGTAGATTTTGCAGAAATGTGTACTACATTAAAAGACATAGTAGTCTGTAGTAGTCTATAAGGTGTGACAAAACAACACAGGAGATAAAGCATGCACATGCACAGACTCCAAGGAAAGCTAAAAGCTGAGAAATGGGGAAACTCGCCCAATAAAAATGGAACGTGGTGAATTATAGTACATGCGCTGTGCATTCTCACTCTGGACTCATAAAGAATGGATGCTGCTTAATATATTTTTCATTAAGGAGGTTCTACTGTAATTTCATCGTAACCAGAAATATGTTCATTCCAAGACGACATTACAACGTAGCTTTGTGCTCTTTGGCTGCACAAGTTGCAAAGTAGAGAGTAATTGCTAAGGCTGCTGATTTACGATGCTTGTACCCGATTAAGTTGGATAAAGAGACTCATAAGCAGAATCCCGATGCTGTGATGTGTCTTCAGCTTGGCTGCTTTAACTAGATTATTGCAGCAGAGATTTGCATTTATGTATACGAGTGTGTGTGTGTGTGTGTGTGT